ACAATGATTAGCAAATGATTCTTGAATAACCTTTAAATGAGATGTATTTCTGGTGTTTTCATAGTTTCAGATGTCTTCATGATAATTTTATGGTCATTAAACTATTCTTTGCTATAAAAATTTACTAATAAAATAATAAAATTTTATGCGCACAAGAAAAATTCATGCACACAAGAAAAGGCAGCTATACAGTGGTGGGTTGCTCCTGGTTTTGTCCGGTTCTATAGAACTGGTAGTAAAACCGGCAGGAGGCTCTGCCCATCCGCCACAATGTCATCATGGGTGATCTGCGCATATATGCGCACACGCTCCCGTTGCGAACCGGTAGTAAAGGTAAGTAGAACCCACCCCTGCAGCTACAGTATATTTTCAAATCTTACATCCATCAAAAACTAGGTTAGCATAGAATATCTGATCAATACAGACTAGTCTTAATAATAGATGACAGCTGTAGTTAAAAAATGCGAAGCCATCAACTGAATACATCAATGGGTAGCCATATGATAAATAAATAAAATCAAAGTGCAAACATAACAAAAATCTAATATTATTGGAAGGGCAATCATTTAAGCACTCGAAAGAGTCTAAAATAGTAGGAATAAGATTGATATCATTTTTTTTAAATTTCTCCATTCTTTTCCCTTACATTTTTGCTTTATAATTTCCTTTCAAACTAGGATAATCAGAACACCGTATTACAACCATGGCTGTATCTTGCATTTTATTACAATGACACTTTTACTTGCAATCCCTTTCCTATTTTTTTTTTTTTTTATCCAAGAAGTTAAATGTCATGGAAATGAATTTTGAAACAGCATGGCAGGAATGAGGACTGCTTTCCTATCATTTATCTTACTAACAATTGCATTAACTCTTGTAACTGCAATTATAGCACTGCTGTAATTATCTGTACCGCAGAACCCATTATCACCATTTGGTGGAGAAACGTACTTACTAATTGTGTATCCCTTGTCGTTTTAATAAGCGATACTGTCATGGGTCACATAGTTTTGTAAGTCACCATTTCAAAGAAACCAAATATTACACACACAGAATATAGACCTGTGAACTGAATATAGTTCATTCTATAGTGACAGTACCTTTGAAAAATCACCAACATTTTATTTCAAATGAAAGTAGGCCTCTGTCATACTGATTTAGTTATTTATGTTACTATATATGCCTTCCTTTTAGATAAAATTTACAGGTAACTCATGCAGAAATCAGTATGTTCTTATACGTGTGTTTCTGTAACTATGAATAAAATTTTGTGCAACATACAATAATGCCCAAATTAACTCTTTTTTGGCCTTGTTTATACACAGCCACAGATAACTTTATAGTCATTTTGAGACTACATTTAATAATCATTTAAATAGTGATTCGCTGTTGTAACATCGAGTAATTTTATTAATTTTATTAGTTTTTATTCTCTATTTTATTCTCTATTATCAAGTTATTAACAATTGAACTTATGTTTTGTATAAATTCATTATTACATTCTGTATAGAAAAAAAACAAAACTAGAGTAGAATTCAAGTAGTAGACCAAAACTTAAATAAAAGCCACAATTAACAGCGTTTAGTCCACCAGGTCTCACATAGTCAGTAAATACTTAGGCTATAGACAACCATTAAAGCATTTCTATACTGTTGCCCCAAAAAAACAAAATCCTTTACTCCAGGGGTATCAAACTCGTGGCAGGTGGGCCGGATGCATCACACGCTGGCCATGCCCACTCACGGTTTAGCAAAGGGAAAAAGTCATGATACATCACGTGACGACAATTGACGCCACGAGTTTGACTCCCTACTCTACTGATATGTCGCTATGGTCAGCATATATTGAGTTTGACTTAAAGGAGTACATTTTTCTAGCCTGTACAGATAAACATTTTTAATAAGGACCTTGTTTAAATCCTATCAGTATCACTTTCGAATGAGTGTTGACTCAAGTCCCTGAGTTTTTCTTGGCAAGATTTCAGAAGTGATTTGCCATTGCTTCCTTTCTAGAGCTGAGAGAAAGCCGCCTTTGTGTCCAAGGTGGGCCTAGAAATCAAGAGCCTCCCAATTTCTAGTCTAACTACTGCACCAAATGAGCATTCTCTCTCTCTGGTACCCAACTAATAAACTTCAGCTTTATACCCCTCATCTGAACTTACTGAGAAGTAAATAAGTTTATACCTGTGGAATTTTGAAAGATTCAGATATAAAATAGTTATTTTTTACACTCTAATATCTGACCTAACCTATTCCTGCTAGAAACACTTCACCGCATTCTAAAATAACACACTAAATCCCTCCTAGGTACAAACAACATCTGTAAGAATGTAATAAATATTTATTTTTCCTTTAATAGCTTGGAGCTGAATCCCTGAAAGCCAACATATTGCAGCTGCCACAGTACTCTTGGTGACTTGTGCTGGAGCCAGAACTGGCTGCTTCTCATAGTACTCTGCATTTGAGGTCACCCTGAGGCAAACTTTTAAAGTCAGTTGGTTTCCTTGGATATCACTTTACTTTCTTAATATCTCCATTCTGTTTCTCCATTCAGGAGAATGCCTTTCCAGAAAAGGTAGGGGCCAATATCTAACCTAATGATGTTAACTAAGAAATGCCACTTTCTCTGCTTCCTTCTCTCTTAACAATGACAGTGGTTTTTGAATTGAATCTTTATGTTGCTTCTTTAAATTACAGTTAGAAAATACTTTGAATAATAGATTATTTTTACAACACTGTAGAAATTCTGGAGCATTTAATCTGATAAAAATAAGTACTTTCTAACTTTCTAGAAGAAAACCAAATTTCCTATTTTTAGGGTGCAGTCTGAAAAATCTACATTGCTTATCAAGTTTGATACAACTGAGAGTTTGGAACATGGAATATTTTCATAGCTCCAAAAATGATTATGAGTACAAGTTTTCATTAAAAAAATTAACTCTCATTGATAATGATGTAAAGCACTTATTAAGTTCTTAGCAACAAGAAAAAATCAAGTAGAGGTTCTATTTTATATCTTCTGTAAAGTTCAGCCAATGATTAAATGTTATTGAGATTTTTTGACATTGACTTTTAAGAAACAGAAATGCAATTCCTTGGCTAAGATGCTACACATATTTATCACCAGCATTTGGAAAATGCAATAAAATCAGTCACAAGATTGTACAAAAGTTAGCAGATACTGCATTTCAACACCAGGTATAAGCATTATCATTTTTAAACTCTGCAGCCAAAAAATGAAATAGTGTTAAATTTTACTTTATAAAACGTTTTGAGTATAATATAGCATGTGGCATCTTATTTATTAAAGTTTACAATATTTTGTTGCTTGGTAGCTGGAGGAAATTTGGTGCCCCCTGCTGTTAGAAAAAATCCCACATTTCTGTTACTATATACCTACTTGAGAATTCCTTTATACAAAAAAAAAAAATAGTAAACAAAGACAAAAGAAAATGTAACTCAGACATATGATTAACTTATAGCATGCTGGCATGCTACATAATAAATGGCAGCATTAGTGGGATATTTTTTTAAAATATAATTCTTATATTCAGGAAATAATAAATAACTACAATTGTGTGTTAACATGTTAAAAGGGATTTTTAGAATGGGAATTTCAGTGTGGATTATTGACATGAAAATTGATAGGAATGCTGATGCAACTGTACACGTCTTTATGTTTAAAAAATGTATAACTTCTTAATGTACAGGGTGAATTATACCAATGGATTAAGAAAAAGGATAGAAAAAAGGGTGAATGGAAGAAGTTGAATGTTCCAGCATACTACACAGGAGCTAATTTCAACACAAGAGAAACTAGAGCCAATAGAAACAACATTCTGCAGATGTTGTGCTTCTTTAATTTTCACAGTATTTTATCATAAATAAATGAATAATCTTTTTCATTCATTCCATTTGTACCAGAAACAAATTTAAACCCTGCATTTGAAACAAACAGACCTTTTTCTAAGCAACAATCATGATTTTCATTCATTCTTCGGTCTCCAATTTTTTTCTGTAGTCTCATATACCTACCATACGTAAATTTTCTCTTAGATTGCAGAAATTTGTATAATTTTTCTCAAACCATATTTTATTTATTTAAACCACTTATATAGCTGCCCATCTTAAAACAAACTCTGGGCGGCTTGTAATCAAGAATCATGCAACACTTTCTTTCATACTTGCACACTGATGTTGGACATTAATACATAAACTACGGTGTTTGTATAATGTTTTTATGCTTTTATGTTTTTTATGCTTGTCACTTGCCAACCCTTGTGTTTGTTAAGAGTCCAATCCAAATAGCTGATCAGGTGAGTGTTCATCTAAAAATTAGAAAGTTAATAACTTTTCTGTTTTCACAAATATATCACTTTAGATTTCTGTATTGTTTTCTAATATTGTCTTTTCAACATCTATTTTATTCTCCCTGGCCTTTTAATTTTATTTGTAGTGAACATGTTAATATTTTCCTAGACTGGAATTTGTTTGATTTTATTTCTGCTTTTGTTGCCATTGTATTAAGTTCAATTCCTAATGACTGAAGGACAAATACTTGATGTGCTCCAAGGACAGTCTTGTAATTGATACTATTCATCCATTTTACTCATTGTTGCCATTGTCTTCTAATTTTACAGTTGCTGTTGTATATTTTAACCCACTTTTACATTTTAGTCACAATTTCAAAATGTTTAAAAATATACTAAAAAAACTTTATCTGAAAGAAAGTCTTTACATTTCAGAATAGATACCCAAATATAAATACGATATTGAATGTATATTTCATGACGATTGTAGAACAGTTCTATACAAAACAAAATGCTGGAAATATTGAAATAAAAATTGAGATAAATAGTTATTAAGTATGATAGATTATTTTTATGTTTAGAAGTTCCAAGGAAACTTTTAGAAAGAATTTCACAATACACCAAAGCTCCACTTAGTACTCATAAAAAAATTATTCATCTAATATAATCTATAAATTGTTGTAATACATACCTGATCTTGCCACCTATGTTTTCTCCCCAAATTGTTCAACTGGTTTCTTTTTTTCCTGTACAACTCTTGATCAATAGTTGTGAAGGGCTGAAGAAGATAAAAAGGTATGATATGCAGCTGGAGAGTATTTTCTTTTGCAATATTCTCTGATGAAGGTAAGAACAGCTGTTGATCAGTAACAGCACTCTCAAGATAACTTTTTGAAGCTTTCCAGACAGGATTAAACCCAGTTTCTTCTTGTGCTAATATCCTGTAAGAAGTAACTAAAAAATTCTTTGAAAGCTCAGAAGTATCTGATTCAAGTCGGAAGTGAAAATAATTATGTACTTTGTTGGGTTTCACTGGTAAGTAATCTTTTGAATTAAAATGCTGTGTATCATCATGTTGCCTAGAAAAAACAGGTCTCTCAATTGTGGATATTCCATATAAAGTAGGAAGCAAGACAAGCTTCTTTCTCAAACTCTGTGGTATTCTATGAAAAGCCTTTACAGTGTATCCGTCATTCTGAGCCAGTGAAGCTGAAATACTTGCTTTTAGATTAGACACTTTGAAGCATAGTTTTTTATTATTCATCTCAAAGTTAGCTGATCTCAACTCTAGGCAAAGTGCCTCCATTAATCTTCTAGTACTGTCATTACTTTTAGCCAGATATGGAACTCTTTGATTTTCAGCTCTCAGAATTCCACTTGTAGTACTCTTGTTTATTTCTTTACTAGAATCACAATTGCATTTACAAAGTGACAAGTGCTTTAGTTCTGATTTTGGTAACCTAGTAGCTATCTGGCAGCCAGTTTGTCTTTTATAAAGATGTATATCTGTAAACTGTCCACATAAACATTCTGTATTACTGATAAAGTTATATTCTCCAAGGCAAGCCTCACAGAATGGGAAGTTCAATTTTCCAGTTGTCCATTTGCCTATGGGAGAAAATAAGCCATTAATTCTTCATAATTCATGAGATAAGAAATGGTCATGAAGTCAATTTTTCCCCACAAAATAGGAGAGACTAATATACTTATCATTTTATAACTGAAAAAGAGCAAATAATCAAATAACAAAAGACAAAACCTAACACTTTTGAAAAAGTTCCTTGAGATAAATACATCTTGGAAATATTCACGTTAATGATCCACTGTAAACATTTTAAAATATTATCTGATACTACTAAACACACTCATTGTATGTATTTATATTACATTATATTTATACTAACTACTGGGTATTTTTGAATGTTAAACAGAGTTAAAACCATCTTAGACATTATAATACAATGTGTAGTTAATATTACCTGATAAATAAGCTATACCAAAACTGAACAGCTTATGAATTTTTATTGTTTTCACTGAAGTACTACAGAACTTAATAATATATCAAGATAGGACCTACTGCAGATCATGGACAAGGTAATAGGTCTCCTCAGTAGTAGTCCACAATTTATGTAGAACAATGTCTCTCAGCTTTTGCAACTTTAAGATGTGTGGACTTCAACTCCCAGAATTCTGGAAGTTGAAGTCCATACATCTTAAAGTTGCTAAGGCTGAGAAATACTTCTGTAGAGGTACAGATGGCCACATTCCTGTTAGCATTTTATAACCAAGCTAAAGTAGAGTTCTTTCAGCATGTGTTAAACCCTTGAAATAAATTAGTTTAATGTTAAGAATCATGATTTTGATAATTATTCATGCGGCTGTTGATAAAAATAGGATTGCCAATATGATTGCCAATATACAATGACAGATATGGCACAACAACAAGAAGAACAATGTTAAGAATGCCTATTTTTTATTAATGGTTTTAAATTATATTAACTGATTAAATTGAGCTTTTATTTTTGTTCTGATTTTTGCATTTGATTTTTTGCATTCTACCCAGAGTCCATTAGGATTATGTGGTTTATAACTATTGCTAAATAAATACATAAGTAACAAGATAAAGTCTACAGTGTGAATCATCTGCATGGTAGGTTTTTCCATTTTGAAGTAGCTTTTTCCTATGCCTTCTGAAATATAACATATAGTCTCTTCCTTGTGAATTATAACTTTGAATTCCACTCATTTTGGCATTCTTGTGACATTAACAGACATACATGGAAATTTGTACATGATGTAAATGAGAATATGTGGCAACGGATTATGATCAAATACAATTCCATGATCTGTAGAAAATATATTATCTTAGGCAGAGAACATAAATTTGGCTTTCAATCAATAAAGGTCTTTTATAAAATAAAATAGAGCTACTTCTTAACTAGACCTATCAGAAGAACTAATGTTCATACCAGTAATACTATATGGGACAATATAAGGAACATAAGATGTGCAAGTTTAGACTTAACTGAAGCATAAAAATCAGATTTTAAATGGCTGGCTGTAGGTCACATTTAATATTTGGAAGGGGTCCAGGGATCAGAGTGGCCAAAATCACAGTAAAATCTATAGGATCTGAATCTTAAATTTTGTTTTCTTGGATTTAGAGGCAAAGTTTTAAGGCATAGACCTCAAACCTTTGCCTCTAAATCCAGGATATTTGAGCTATTTAATTATGGATTAAGTTTCATGTTTTTCTGAATTTCTCTTCAAAATGACAGCAAACTACATCACCAAATTTTAATAGGGAGGGAGCACAAAAAAGGATGACCACATGCAGCCCTAACTTCTCCAATTTCTATAACTCTACTGTATACAGTAGCTAAACATACATTTGGTTACTGTTAAAAAGCATAGCACCTTAAGTCTCACCAAGTTGCCTTATTGTTGTGGTAGTGTTCTTTGGAGGGATGACCAAAGGACATTGTCAGTATATGCTAAAAGGATTTAACCGCACCAAGGTCACCCAAAGTATGATAATCATCCCAGCAGACATCATGGGACTATCCAAAGAGTCAATAAATGAATGGAGGGCCAATGAATATCTGAGAGTCAATTGATGGTTTATAACTGATAGGTTGATTAATGTAGCTCTGTTGGGATCTCTGGAAAGCTCCATGCCAGTCCCTAGCCTTGAAAGAGAGGTGGCTAGCAGCAAGTGTTACTCGGGGTTGGATGATCAGCCATTAGCAAAAGCAGCATTGAGTTGTCTGTTATCAACTATGTGTTGTTATTGGCTTCAATTATTACCAGTGGTGGGTTTCAATCGGTGTTACTACCGATTTGATTCATGCACGCACTTCGTGCCAATCTAGCGCAGTATATTTCAGAACAGTTGAGACGCGGCAATCCACTCTGCTGCGCTTTTCAGCTGGACTAAAAATGACCAAATATAAGGTATGTATAACGCAGGGGCAGGTGGGAGGGCCAAACTAGAGAACTAGTTCACTCTCAGCTCACCATCGCCACTACCAGTTCACCTGAACTGGGCTGAACCGGTTGAAACCCACCACTGATTATTGCTATTATTATGACTGGTCACACAATCATTTAAACTAGATTTGTCATAGACTATCGAGTCCTTCCCAAGGACCTTGGATAGGCAAATGTTGTTTGATAATGTTAAAGGTATTATTGCAGAATGTAAGTCGTTACAGCTAAAGCTTGGAAAAATTGAATGAAGGTGATTTTTGTCAATGCTGATGGTGTTCAGGTGGTGCTCCAGATGTTTTGGGATTGTACCCAAAGATATTACTATTGGTAACTATCTTTGCTTTCTTTTGCCACAATTGTTCTATTTCTATTTGCAGATTTTTATATTTTGTGATTTTTCTCCAGTTCTTTCTTTCTATTTTGCGATCTTTAGATACTGCAACAGCTACTATCCAGACTTCTTTGTCTTTCTTATTGACAATTACTATATTTGATGTGTTATGTGGCAGGAGCTTGTCTGATTGGATCCTTTAGCTTCTTCATTTTCTATTACTTTATTTTCTGGTCCCACCAGTTCTTGCTTTGCAAGCAAATGGTATTTCTAGCAGATCTTCCAATGCATCATTGTTGCTTTGTCGTGCCTTTGCTTGTAATCAGACTATCCTGTTTCAGGCCATGAGCACAAGCACACCAGAAGGGATTGTTTTGTTGTCACAACTAAACCCCAGGATTCCCCAGGCCCTGAATGTACACGTAAATACCCTTACAGCAAGTCCTGTTTGAGTGCCACTTGGCAAAAGTTCTTTCAAGGGCCTTGGTTAATGGTAGCAGATAGATGTGTTAACCTTCAATGGACTTTTGCTAATTAGGACCAAATGACAAGGCCTAAAAAGTATTGATAATAGATGGGATAGGGGAAGAAGAGTTCTTTTATTGTATTATCCGAGAAGGTAATAAGTTAATAAAATTATCTGTACTTTTTGTGATAAGGGGAAAGTAATTTCTTTATACATTTTTTGATTTTTTTCCTGCACTTTTTGTTTTATTTTTGTATTTTTTTAGTTTATATTCTAAACTTTAATAAAATTATTATTTAATGAGACATGAAACAGTTTTACAACATCTGTAAACCTGAAACTAGAAACAGGCAAGGAAAAAAGGAAATTCCTTGCCTGTTTCTAGTTTCAGGTTTACAGATGTTGTAAAACTGTTTCATGTCTCATTAAATAATAATTTTATTAAAGTTTAGAATATAAACTAAAAAAATACAAAAATAAAACAAAAAGTGCAGGAAAAAAATCAAAAAATGTATAAAGAAATTACTTTCCCCTTATCACAAAAAGTACAGATAATTTTATTAATTTATTACCTTCTCGGATTCTCAGAAGGAGAATTCAGCCTTAAATTTGTATGCTAAAGGATGTCAATGGACAGATACTCAAAGATAAAAGAACATAAAAGAAGACCAGCAGCAAGTTGGATAGACTCAATTAAAATGGCAATAAATAAATCATTGGAAGACCTGAAGCATGAAGCTGGGGACAGATTATCCTAGAGAAAACCTATTAGTGTGGTCACTAAGAGCTGACACCAATTTGATGGTACATAATAATAATAATAATAATCAATCATCAAGGCAGAGTGGGAATTAGTCATTTCAATCTGTATGGAAATACTATGCAATAATGGACTAAATATTTTAACTCATAATTAAATTGGGGCTCTTACCTTTTCTATTATGTGAGTCACCCAAACTGGAAAAGCTTGTATGTTCATGTGCCATAAATTAGAATTATCCAGGGAGGTAATAGACAATCAAGGTTGCTATAAAATAAAAATCAATATATTATTAGTATTGTATATGTTTTCAATTTGTAAAGTTTTAAAAAATATTTTTACTTCCAAAATCCTATTATGTGTGTTCATTGTATTTTTCTTTCCCCTTTTCACTCTTTGACCATCCTCAATATTTCTATGCACAAGCTAGTTTATCCTTAATAAAGCTCTACTTTTATCCTTCTTCCATATCCTTTCAACAAGCTTAAACAAATGGCTGAGATTAAGTATGTCTTGTCTTTGCAACATCATCCTAATACTCCAAACTGATTTATTTCTTGCCATTCAGGTCTGGAAGGAAATATAAGTTTCTCATATGTTCCCTGTCAAGTTTTTGACCAAGCCCAAGGCTGATTAGTTTCAGCAAGTACTGACCAAGCCTAAGGTTTCACATTCAATTCTTCATATCACAATACAAAACATACTGTTTTACCATTAGATCCCAAATTATAAGCATGTTTTTTATGTTTTGATATAAACTGTCCTGAAGGGATTACTTTAAAATTTAATTATGATTATTCCAAAGGTGCTTTTTCAGGAGGCAACTGGACTTTGTTGTTTTTTCTTTGAAGTGGTTTCGCTTCTCATCCAAAGAAAGAAAAAAACAAGAAAGTCCAGTTGCTTCCTGAAAAAGCACCTTTGGGGCAACCATGACCTGGATGACTGAGAATCTCTACAGACTTTTAGCTATACAATTTGGGATGAACACCCTTTGAATTGTGTGGGAGTAGGAATGAATTTCCAGAGAAAAATTGCAGACTAGAGGAATCAGGAGCACTACTCAGGTGGTCCTGAGAAGACAGATGAAACTCCAAGTGCTTCAGTGACCCTCGAAAAGCATGCAAATGACCATCTGTCTGCAAGGAATATAAATCCTTCCATTCCCCACTATCCTGTCAAAGCTGAAGAAGCTTCTTGGATGAGAAGCGAAACGTCTTGAAAGAAAAAATAAGAAAGTCCAGTTGCCTCCTGAAAAAGTACCTTAGGGATAACCATGACTGAGAATCTCTGCAGACTTTTAAATACGATTACTTTTTAATTTATAATAAATTAATTTTCCAGATAGGAAACATGCCTAATAGATTTAACTAGGTATTTCTGAATCTGCAACATCTCCCTAATGAATTGAAACTATAATCTATATAATGTCCATTGAAGGTATACTATAACAATTATACTACAATATGTTTTATAGCATAATGATTTATTGTGAGCTTTGACATTCCAATTTAGTTGACATGCCAACTAATGGAATATTATTCTTTATTCAATAAATTAATTTTATGAAAGAATTTGAAAACAGTATAATATTATATGTTTTAAAGAGTATAATTACAAATTTTAAACCATAAAAAAAACATAAAATTCCCCTATACTAGTATAATAGCATTAAAGTTCATCCTATTATTTTAATCTCATTTAATTGGTTTGTAGATCATGTCAGTTTCTACACTGCAAAAGTACTGTAATAATGAGAAATATGTATAATTAGCATATATTTATGGAACTATCATTTTATTTTTTTGAAATGAAATGATAGCTTTGTTGGCAATCTTAAAGATCCCTATTTTAACAGTTCCTTTATCATTTGGTATACCAATGGAAAAATGTATTCAGATTCTAGAGTAATAAAAATTATTCTAAATTACATATCATTATTTTTAATTAAGAGACAGTGAAATACGTTCTTTTAGAGAAAGTAAGTTTACTATATTTATCAAAATAAGCACATTTAAAATATCTAAAATCTATTTTTTGCCTCCAAAAATGTTACATAAAATGAAGAAATTAAATACTCATTTTACTCAAATTGTGAACTGATTGTGCAGGAAGAGGTATTTAGCATTTATGCAAGTCATTTCTCCATTAACAATTCTGATACTCAGGGTTTTATAGTCAGAATTGTAAGCGGAAATTGAGGAAAGAGGATTTATACAGATTTGGTATCTTACAGCATGGAGGCAGAACAATAATTAAGCTGTACTGTGTGACTACTTTAGTCTCAAAGTAAATTCATTTTTAAAAAAGGGTCACGTAAATTGACAACTTCCAGTATGAATAACCACTGGAATGTATGGAAAATTCAATCAGCAGCTACTGTTTCTAACATACAAATGTTACAATATAAAGAAACTAGTAGAAATAAATAGTGATAAGAAAGCTAAAATAATTTCTTTGGTTGATGCAAAAGTTTTTATAAGATTTTGAAATTTTTTGGGGTTTCCCAAAGCTTTATATTTTGGACTGAGATGGCATCCTTTAATCATAAATGATCAATGTCTGTTCTTCGTTACATCAAGGTTGATATTGATGTCAAGAATGCCCTTTTTATTCCTTTTTAGTTAATTCAGAACCTCTTCCATGGATATTTGGAGTGCATTTGAACAACCTATTAAAGATCAGGAAGCCCAACAGGATCTAACCAAGAACATTTTCTTGAGCAATCATGTGTCCCTTTATAAACCGGCGAGATACTTTTATAGCTGTTTCTACATTTCAGAGAGCGGCAAATCTAGCACCTTTTAACTCTCTCTCCATAGCAGTTCTGGAGGGCCAATGTAAAAAAGTCCCATAGAGCTGCTATTTGGTCTTTATGGACAGGGGGCCATTGAAGTCACAGCTCATGTCCTGTTATATTACATCCCCTATAAAGACTCATGGATTCATTTTATAACTCCTTACCTGACAAAATATTTAGGAAATATTGATCTCTTTTAATAGCTCTATATAAGAGCTATTACTATCAGATCAGTATGATACAGGTAGTCCTCAACTTACAACAGTTCATTTAGTGATCATTCAAAGTTACAGCGGCACTCATTTATGACTGTTTTTCATACTTACGGCCATTGCAGCATTCTTAAGGGCACATGATCAAAATTCAGATGCTTGGCAACTGGTTCATAATTATGATGGTTGCAGTGTCCTGAAGTCATGTAATCTGCTTTTGTGATCTTCTGACAAGCAAAGTCAATAAGGAAGCAGATTCACTTAACCACTGTGCTACTAAGTTAACAATTACAATGATTCACTTACCAACAGTGACAAGATAGGTTGTAAAATAAGGCAAAACTCACTTAACAATTTTTTTCCTGATCTATGGCCATAATAAAAGATTGATTGATTGGAAATCATTAATACATAAATTAGGTATCCTGCCTAGTACTCCAAAAACTGGACGTGATAGAATAGAAAATGCAGAACATTGTCTCCCATCCTATCATACAGTGTCCCATTCCTCAGCAAACCATTTTTCTGCAGGTAGTCCTCTATTTACAACTTGTAATTTAAGGACCATTTAAAGTTACAACAGACTTTTAGAAAGCTATTTACGACCTGTCCTTGACCTTACGACTGCTGCACCACCTCTGCAGTCATGTGATCACATTTCAGGCATTTGGCAATCTGTTTGCATTTATGACTGGTTGCCAAGTGCCCCACAATCATGTAATTACCATTTGCAATTTTGTCTGCTGGCTTTCCCAGAAAGTCAAGGGAGAAACCAGCAGAAAAAAATTGCCTGCCAAAGGATTCCCCCTCCTCTTGTGCATTTGAAGCGGGGTGGGGTGGGACTCCTATGGGAAGAGGAGAAAGGAAACTTGGATCATGAAGATCTAGGCTGTTTTTCTCCAGCCCAGCATTAGATTTTTCTTCTGTGCGTGGACAGAGGAACTCTTGCAACAAGCTGGAGAAAGGAAGCTCGGAATACAAAGATCCAAGTTTCTTTTCTCCAGCTCAACTCTGGATTTCCCTTTTGTACATGGAGCAGAAGGCAAACACTTAACAGTGTACTGTAGAAAGGCCGATTTTTGTGATTCAAGCTTCTTTTTTCAAGACCTTCCTGGAGTTCCCTTCTATACACGGAGCGAAACTGCCTACCCTCCTTTGGCAAGCAGCTCATTCACTCCATGCGCTTCATAATGTTAAGCAGTCCCTTAACAACAACTGCAACAGGTGAGCATATCATTTAATGATCAAAACAACTTACTGTATGATCAAAACTTTTGGATTCACTTGTGGTTGTAAGCCGAGGAATACCTATACCGTGTTAGATGCAGCCTGGGAAACTCCCCTGGGAAAAGTGTTGGACTAAGGAAACAAGGAGTTATATCTACCCCAAACTGTTTTTTGGGATCAGGGGGAAGGGAAGAGGACTGAAATACTGGTAGTGAGTGTTACTTTGGCTTAGTGTCATAATTATGGAGTTCAGAGAAAGAAGAAGATGGTAACTGGTGATTCAGGATGGATTTTAAATATAAAGTTTAAAATCACTTCACTTTTCTGAAAGTGTGTCTGTCCCAAAGTACTCCAAGGTAAGCCTAGTGAACATTTTTGAGTAGGCAGGAAAGAATTTTGAAGAATAGAGGTGAATTAGATTGCAACATGAGACGTATCTACTGGGAACAGAGGGCTATGTGTACAAGAGTTTAAGAAAAACAGTAAGTAATTACTTATGTTTTCAATTAGTTACTACATAGGAAACTACAAGCCTAGGTATCACCTGCAAATATAATCAGAAATAATCCTATTCTTGTTGAATATAAAAACATGCTCAGTATCTTATATAGTTATTAATCATAATTCAGTCGTGACAAGATGAGAATAAATTAGAAAACCATCAAAAGGAAAATTGAAAATATTAAACAGGATCAAACTACAATGAATTGTTGACATAAATTATTAAGGAAAAGCTCAGACTGAAAAAGATAAAGAAAGAAATGGATAGCAAGTTAAATTTTACAGTTTACGGAATAATGCTGTAAAATGAAAACTTAAAAAAGGAAAAATATAATAGAATGCACCAGAGGATTATGAAGAAAAATTGTTCTGTAAAATAAAAACACTAGATTGAATGTATACAAAATAAGTTCGTCCTCTAAAGATTGGGGAAAGAACTTGTGAATACAATCAAGGAAATAAACCTGGAATATTTAAAATTCATAATATAAAATGGGAACTATCAACTACTTAAATGAATTCTCTAATGA